TATGGTTATGACGCTCGCCTTGACAGCGAGAGGTCGCAGGTTCGAGTCCCGCCAGAGGCATTTTATTACACAATTTCTTTATTCGTTTATTTTACAGGACCCATTCGTTGAGAGCTATGCTACACGATGTATTATTATGTCCTTTATTCGAACACTGTATTTACCTTTCTTTGATGATTTATGTATATAATTTAACAGTGTTAACGGCTATCTTGATTTATATTACAGCATATGCAATTATTTGTTTCTAGCCGTACTTATTGTGTTATGGAGTGTATCTGGTGGTATTTGAATCTGTTTAACCATGGAGCCTCCGTGGTCTAATGGTTATGACGCTCGCCTTGACAGCGAGAGGTCGCAGGTTGAAGTCCCGCCAGAGGAATTTTATTACACAATTTCTTTATTCGTTTATTTTACAGGACTACATTCGTTGAGAGCTATGCTACACGATGTATTATTGTGTCCTTTATTCGAATACTGTATTTACCTTTCTTTGATGATTTATATATATATATATATATATATACCGTGCAGAGTAGGTTGAAAGCAGATCATCTAGACAACAGTGCTCGATACATAAGCAGAGCAATATAAAATCAAAACAAGATGACGCTTGGTTACAAATTCAACATTTTATTGCACTACAGGCTGTTTCATGAGGTACTTCCTCAAGCATCAGGTGCTAGGCTCTGAATGAGACTGCAGAATAACAATCATGCATGGTGGAACTGTTAATTGCTATATAGATTATATTGTTATATAGTTTATTGGTAAACAGGTTAATTAGTATACTCATTATTATTCATAGAGGTGATTAGAAGCTCTGTATTGTATAGGCCTATGTATATTGGTACCGCAGTAGAAATTTTCCTTTGGTTAGGTACTTGTTGGATAGGGGGCACACGTCGCGACAATTGCACTCTTTGACGTCATTATCTGTGCGGATTGTTGTATTATTAAGATAAGTTACAGTTGTATGCCGAATATGGGTTCTATAATCTCTGCACACAACAAATCAGTACTTAATAATACCACAATCGATTTTGCATCATGGGTGATTTTTTTATTTATTTATTCAACAATATTTTGAGAGGGTAGCTCAAACAGCAGTGCTACAGAAATTATGAAATTGCAAATCAACCTTCAAATTTAATTGTCGCTAATAAATATTTTGAAACAAAAAATTTTCCTGTCTGTGGGGTAGTAAAATATTCTGTGGGCTAGTAAAATCTCTAGTAAACTAGCCCAGTGGGCTAGTTACCAAAAAAATTAGGGCAAGCCCTGATAATATTAATATTCTTTTGATCCACATCGTACATATCACGATATCTTCAGCAATGCTATCAATCTTCATTTTACTATATTATTTCATTTCGTAGTTTATACGTCTACCATACAATCTTTTGCTGTACACATGTCGTCAAGTGAGATTAAAGAAACGACAACATTACACAACGTCGCAAATAGGGGCCTAGCTGGTACCGATGATACTTACTGGTGTTTATTTCATGTCAGTTCTATATATTTTGATGTTAGCTTTCGAATAAAGGTATTATTGTCTAGAAATCCTGGAATACCGGTACTTGTTGAGGGTCTTAATTTTTGGGGTCTGTTATTAGTGGGTCTGATATCTCGTAATCTTAGGTCTTAGCTTTCGTAGGTCTGAGCTTTCGGGACACCCACGTACACTTCACATAAATGCCACATAGCACAACAGCTCATTGACTATAAGATCGTTGTCATTTGCATAAAGAGGTTGCGTTGTTCTCCACGGTGGGAACGGCCGCCATCATGCAGTAAGCAATGCTCAAGATTCAAGAGCTTACGATTTTATTCAGACAGCCCTTCATACCTTGCCCTTTATTCCTCCCCACTCCCAGATGCTTTCGCCGCCACTGTGTCAATGTGTCTACTTTGTAAAAGTTAAGTAAATAAATCTGTTAAGATTTTCCAAACACTGGATGGAAGTTACTTGAATTCCCCTATTGTTATTAAAACTTTTCTGTCTCCTGCTTAAAAATTAGGAAGTTATACTAACGCTCCATTCGCTTGGAATCTTTTCATTTTCTAATAATTTGTTTAAAAAATACATAAACTGAGCTGACAAGTCATGCTAGCAATAATTGTGATTGTTAACCAAAATAGACCTACATGGTGGTCCCAAACATGTTTTTTTCTTCAAATATATTTTTGTCTATATTTAAATGAATTACTTCGGACCAGCGGACCTTCGGACCAACGGACCTTCAGACCAAAGGCCCTTCGGACCAAAGGACCTCCGGACAAATGCACTGACCCCCATATGCCTATTTTAATAATCGCGTGATTAAGGAAACTTAACTCATTCTCTCGATCTGGATTCTGGCAGAACGATGATTAGGCTACGACTGGGGGGGGGGGGGATACTACTATAACAGCGACGGAGTCTACAAGTTGGGTAAAGGTAGGCCTACGGTTGCATGTGTATTCAAAGTGTATGGATATTTTGGTCGGATTTGTAAAGCATGGTCATTTCGAGTATATTCGTTATTATAACATGGCTTCTTGGACTAAAACTTGAGATTTTGGGGGTTGAGAACTTCAGACTTGAAGTAAAAGAAAAGGAAAATATAATGTAAGAAAAGGGAAAACATGAAAAGAGGTAGAAAAATGAAAGGAGGAAAAGGGGGTAGGGGAAGAAATTACAGGGAAGTAAAGAAAAAGAGAGACAGGTCGTAAGTATGAAAGCAAATAAAGGGAAAAGTGGAAAAGACATGGAAAAAAGAGTAAAAGGTAAGTAAGGTAATACGACTAAGGAAATAAATATCTAACAATTATTTTTTAAAAAGTAAATAACATTCTGTATTTTCAAATTATTTATTTATTAACATTACCGGTATATATTTATTTTTATTGTTGTTATTCATTATTGTTACTCATTATTTTTCTTAGGTAAAACTTTTAATAATTTTTCCCACACCATGCTGTAAAGAGAGGTATTTTACATTATGCGCTATATAAATTGACAATTATAATTATTAGACTTGGCATGAGGAATGTTTATGGCCGTATGCCACCACAGATCGATCTATCACTACAGAAAGGCCGCAGCCAAGCGAAGAATCAATGCCAAGAGTTTGGTACATGCAGTCCTTGTTTGATAATATATGGCTGATTGTCCTAAATGACATGACTCTTACTGAGTGGAACTACGCATATCGTTGGCAGCAGATATGTACAGTACTGTCAGTGGCGGCGTCAGGATTTCCCGACGGGGGTCTAAGGTCCCTGTCGGGAGGGCTGATGTCCCAGACGAGATAAAAGTGGGCGTGGTCGGGCGTCGCTAAAAACCCTTCGAAAGTGGTCCAGGGGACGTAGCCCCACGAAAATATGACAATTTAGGGGTTTCAAAGGCTTATTTAATCGATTTTAGAGTCTATTAATATGTACAAAATACATATAATTAAAAAAAAAAAAAAATTTTCTCCTCGACGAATTGTGGTTTTTCTCCCCGACGGGAGCCCTGCCTGGCGCCCCCGGTAGCGCCGCCACTGAATACTGTACGTTTTACCTATATCATGTTCTAATAATATACTGTACCCACTCGTTCCCTTTTTTCACTGATGAATAAAAAGTATAGCCGCGTTAGTCTGTACAGTATAGAACAGTATAAAGTAAATAACAGCAGCACTTTTGAGACTAACAATATATAATTTATTCTCTAGCTTTCGTCCACACACTGGACTTCATCAGGAGACAGTCTCCTTTTTTCACTGTAATGCCAATCTTGACAGATGACGTCACGCATATTCTGGCACTTCATTGGACAAAGGTGACGTAATGCATTTACCGTACCTGTACAAAATGGAAGCGCCATAGCGTAATTAAAATGTGTCAATAAATTTGCATATCAATAACCACATAAGCTCACAAACTGGAGAACAATGGAATCCATTCGCGATTCCAATTTCCGTATATAGATTCCTATGTTTAAATACATATAAAAGAGGCGACTCGAACAACCATCCAGAGGGACCAGTTTCATAGTAAGTTAGAATAATATCTATCATGGCATGAACCTAGTAGTAGTAGTGCTACGCATAATATGGAAACGTAGCATGTAGCATAATATAGAATTGATGTATATTTTATTACATTTAGAAAAATATATTGCAAAAAAAGTCTGAGAGTGCCAGAGCATCTACAGGTGCCAATGCCTACTTTTAATATTTCCTCACCTCACTTAGAAAGGCAATGAGGTAATTTAAGGGGGTGTGGCAACGAACGTGTTAAATTCAAATTTAGCCAATAGGCCTGGGACGCTATTCTTCTACCATTTTGAACGCCATTGGAATGCAGTGTATATATCC